TGCTCCCCCCCTGGCACAACCCTCTCCTCCCGTTGCCAGAGCTGCCCAAGTGTGCGAAGCTGCACCCGTTCACCCGGTTCCTCCCCAGGCTGAAGTACAGGGGCTTCCTCCACCACCTCCACCCCCTCCCTTGCCACCTCCAGGCATTCGACCCTCCTCTCCTGTCACAGTTGCGGCCCTTTCTCACCCTCCTCCTGCTCTGCACCCTCCTCCCACAGCCATTGTCCCTGGCCCTCATGCCCCCCTGATGCCTCCATCTCCACCATCCCAAGTGATCCCTGCTCCTGAACCCAAACGCCATCCTTCAACTCTTCCTGTCATCAGCGATGCTAGAAGCGTTCTGCTGGAAGCAATACGGAAAGGTAATGTTTGGCTGTTAAGGGGCAAAACGAACCATCTCAGAAGCTTGCTAAATACACATCAGCTTTGAGAGATGGAGTACTTCACATGTGTAAGAAGTTACATTTAGAAGAATGCATTTTAAGTCTGTTTCTGCTTCCTATTGTCTACAGCGTATGCATTGCCAAGTAGACACATTTTTTCGATTTGTAATTGCACTTTATCAGATGTTTAGTTTGGATAGCAAAACTGGTTCTCTGTGGAAGTTAGATTTTAAAAGAAAAAAAGTACATGTGTTTATAGGTGATCTGAAGATTTTCTCTTAATTTCTGCTTACCTGAAAATGTGCCTATTTCTGATAACCTAGAGATTGTGTAGAAGACAAAAACATTGTTTTTCACACACTGTTAGATAAAAGCAGAACAGATCAATTGGCATTGGAATTTTGATCATATATCGGTGTATTAAAACACCATATAAATGACATTCTATAAACGACATTCAGAAATGGTTGCTTAAGACTTAAAGCTGTTAAGTATCTAAACTGGACATGTCACAGTGCAGTAGTGCAGCAGTCTTTACATTGCAAGGTTCCCCACTGGCAGCGTGCAAGTGAGCGGCAGAGGTGCAGGGCAGTGTTTTCCTGATGATCTAGCGAGGAGCTGTCTGTACAAGCTGTACCTTTCAGCTTACCTGCCTGCATTCAGAGAAATCCCCTCTGCACTGTGAGCGCTGCTGTTTGACTGTGTGGTACCTGGGAATAGTTCATCTTTCTCAAATGTTTCAAGTACTACATTCTTCTGTTTTTTCCCCTGCACCTACAACACAGTATGTAATCTGTATGGTACTGTAATATCAGTAGATGGGTTATAACACTAATTCAAAATATGTTTAAAGCATCTATATGCACATGAATTGATAACATCATTGAATCTAAAGAAGTATCAACAGTTGAGTACAACAGCGGTGCATGAACATCAGTAGAGAATGTCAGCAAAAAAAACCTAATAAAGGAGAGCCTACTGGTATAATCTGGGTGGTTCCTGAAAACACTTTTGGCCAAGTCTTGCACAAGAAACAAAGGCTCAAGTTCCTGCAGCTTAAATTCCACCTAGGGACCTGTGCTTGTGTTGCCTGTCAGTTGACAACAGAGGGTATGAAGTATAGGGTGTAGGTCATATTTAGACTCTGTCAGTCTGTGATGTCGTGAGGATAAAACCAAAATATACAATCGCTGTCATGTTTTTAACTATGTTACTGGATTTAACTTTCTCATAATGTCGGTATGTGTTACTTCTTCTTTATGTGTGATCTTTAAGTAATACTTTATCCCAAAACAGATCATTACATGTTCAAAACCAGGTTACAAGAAGTCCTGTCTTGTTAGAATACTCCAATATCTGTAACTTTTAATCGAAATCATGCAGAGAGTACAGAAGGTGTCTGGAAATGCAACTAGTAAAATGGCTTAATCGCTTACAGTGGTACTAAAAATGTGGGTGTATTTTTAATGGGAAATCAAGCAGGGTACAATAGTAGAAGGACTGACAATCTAGTCTGCCATTGCAATTCTGACATTACTCTCTTTAAAAACTTGACAGAGAACTTCCAGCCAAGAAAGACGATGTCCTCAGCCTTCAGTTTTGCTTGCAAAGCATTTTGTGAATCATGAGCTAAGTATTTTGTATAATGATAAAGGAGGAAAATAACATGTTTGTGATTTGATGTTCTTTAGGTATTCAGCTACGCAAAGTTGAAGAACAACGTGAACAAGAAGCTAAACATGAGCGCATTGAGAATGATGTTGCTACTATACTTTCTCGTCGCATCGCTGTGGAATACAGTGATTCAGAAGATGATTCAGAATTTGATGAAGTGGATTGGTTAGAGTAAAATTATTACATTGCTGTACACTGCAAAATCGAATGCTAATGTCCATTGTGGTGCTTGTTCTTTGAAAGTTTGATGGTCATTTCTAGTGTTTTTTGTATTCTTTTCTTTACATAATTAATCCATGTTTTTCTACTTTTCCGTTTACAAAAAGCTCCTAGTGCATCTTTGAAATTAAATGTTTTACGGTGGCTTTTCTTACACATCTTTTTTGAAAGAACATACTTTGTTCCAATAGACCACTAAGTATTAAGCATGGGCAGCTGTTAGTAGAGTAGCAGTTTCAATTTTTTGGCATATCTTAACTGTGCACTTTGTGAATTTTAAGTTAATGAAGGCAACTGAGATTGACATTCCAACGGCAGCTGTATGTACTAACAAGCCTTACTCCAATTCCGATAGTGTTTTAAAACATTAAACCTAGCTATCAAGAGATCACTGCCTTGATTACATCTGTACACTGAAAGTACATATAGTTAGCAGCACTGAACACATTGAAAGGAAAATGGATCTTTGGGGGTTTTTATTATTGTTTTATTGTTGTTTTTAAATAATTATGGCCTTATTTGAATGTTTAGAGATTCCCCTTCCCTTCTTCCCTCACAGGTACATATTGTGTGGTACTATTTTTGCCTGCATAATAAAAGTTTAGATTTTTTTTTTTTCCCCCCTTGTGAAATCTTTTGACTTAAAACATGCTGTGTAACTTATGTAACTGTTAAAATAACAGTTTGATTTAATAAATGGTTCATTTTAAATGTTTCTGGTTGTTGTGTTTTCAATGAAGCCTGCTTTTCACTGGTATACCTGAGGGATCCTTGGATTTCAAAGATTTAATCTGTGGTCTACAAAGTTATAATAAATATTCTGCATTTCATCTAAGGACCCATATTAAACAAGGAAACATGTATCATCAAATGAAAGCTATATGCATATCTACAAAAAAAAAAGAGCTGAAATCTTACTGTCATCCATTAGTTTAAAAAAAAAAATACAAAATTGGGAGCTTATGGCTTACATGATTTAGGGTTGTGTGTTTTAAAAAAAACTGTACTATCTGTATCTTGAGACGAGATGGGGAGATGCAGCCATCAAAATCATGGTTGATGAAAGATGACAAAGAACATAGGTGATATTGCAAAGTCATTTTTTAGGTGCTATCTAGCAGCGTACTGCATGTTGCGCAGGGCTTTTGTGTTTCCCTTCTCTGGAATAACTCCTTAAGTCTGAGCACGTAGTCAAAAGCCTATTCAGAAGGGAAACATGAGAAAGTGGCTCTTACCTTGCCAACTCGTTCCTGGAAGATGGAATTGTATAATACAGGAAAACAAGTGTTGAAAGTCGGAACGAGATTTCTGAAGGTGCGATGTGAAATGTTCTACCAGCTACAGAACAATTTACAGGGGCACATGGCTATTAACCTGCTCTTGGGATGGGGCAGAACTCCAGAGGTACAGACTGGAGTAGGGATACCGTGCAGCAACCCCTTCCACCTTTAGAGGAGGCTGAGATGGCAGCAGTATAATTTTGTACCTGGCCTACTATATTCAAGACTTTCCGCTGCAGCAGTAATGCCTCTGTTGTGTTTGTGGGAGAAAAATCATTGTCACAATTTGTGAATCTGCATCTTTATAACTATGGACGCAGTTTGTCTCTTATACACCATGCTCTTTGATAGCTGTCTTCACAGTAACACTATCTGGTTTATTCACCCATTCTCAGTTAAATGTGTGTCCTTAATAGCTCATCACAAAGTTAAAGAAAACATGTCCGAAGCACCACTGCATGAATATTCGATGGTGTTTAATCTAGGTGTTTCCTTGGAGCTCGGTAATCCTAAATTGCCAAATCTGGCCCAGTAACTAAATGTGAGAGATCTCATTTACACAGCTGTAAAGGACTGATGTCTTCAAGCCAAAGGGCAGGATACACACCTGCAGCGCATCTTTAAGCAGGGAGCCAGACCTATGCTTTAGGCAGCGGAAGGAAGAGCTTGTGCCTAAATTCTCTGTGTCAGTAGTTCTGCCATTGACAAAATTACTTTTCAACTGATCTTTATACCTGTTCCTTGCTGAAGTCTCTCAACTCCTGATTTTCCTGGTGGATACTGCAGACAGCAGCCTACGTCGTCACTTAACGGAGCGGCAGCACGTCCCTGCCCGAGCTGTAGCTGTTCAAAGTGGGGGATCTCCTCATCGCACCGTCGCACCTGCACTGTACGTATGCTCTGCGTGCGTCCAGGCGTTGTGAACTGGTGGGTATAATTTGCCTAAAGTAAGGAGACAAATTAGCGAAAAAAAAAAAAAGAAGAAGAAAAGAAAAAAAAGAAAGAAAAAATAAAAATAAATGAAAGGAAAAAGGCCCTTACGTGACAGCAGCTATCACGTATTGGACTTGAAGGTATAAAAGAAATCCTTATTGACAAATGGTTGTTATTGACCCGCTTTGCTGTCCCGGTGATTAATAATATCCCTTCCAGATGGGTGCCCAGGGCAGACAAAGCACTCCTTTCATATGACAGCCAGAGCAAGTGATGAACCTTGTCTGAGAAGAGTCAGGAGTTAAATTCGGTTAACGTTTCAAAGGCGGGATTCTTGGCCTTCTGCCACTGCTACAGCTTTCTGCTGCAGCAGCTCGTCCCCAGACAGCAATAGCGTGATTCACTGGTAGCGAGAGATGATTCTTGAATTTGAATACTTGCATTTCTAGATGTGCTCCAAGTGATGCATTTGCAATCCCGGTGATTTGTGTCCCTCTTACTGTGGTCTCCAACTGCCCTTCTCGTTTGGTGGAATGCTGTCCAGAGGGCTGCTGGGCTTTTCATGCCTGTGATTAGATACGTAATAGATTATTGATTGCTTTGTCTTCTAAGGTGCTAAATCAAGTCTTCTGTATCGAACTGTTTACAGAGTCTGTTGTTTACTTCTGTACATTTACAGCAGCTGGTTAAAATCAGAGGCTCAAAGACTGCCACAAAAATAACGTGTCAGCGATGTTCAATATAAGCGAAGAGAAACCTTTGTTCGGCTTCATGCCTTTCTTGAACTGTAATCTGGGACAGTTAAAAATTATCTACCTCTCCTACTGCAAAATGGGAGGAAAAAAAAAGAACAAAATAAAAAGCATAGAAAGAAGCAAAAAGTACTTGGTGGCAGAACCGGAGCAGAAGACAAGGCAGGTGCAAAATTGGTCACTCAGGATTTTTATCAAAAGGTACAGTAGTAACAATGACACGGCCATCATGGACAGACCAAAAATAAACAGGTAAATGGAAGAGAACAAGTACTGAAGAAAAAGATCTACAGAGAGAGAGATAATTTGGGGTTTTTTTAGCGGTGCGTTGTGAACAGCAACCGTTAAATACTAGATATCATTGAGGGATTATGTGACCTCCCATTAAATTGGGATTAAAAAAGCAAGAGGCATTTTAAAAAGACCTTTAGTCGATAAAATCACCCTTCCCTGCGTGTGGCACAGGGGTGCTCGCCTCAGCGTTCAGGTGGACGCTGACGCAGCATCGCCTCTCTGATGAACGCACAGACTAACGCAGAGTCGGCTGCAAAAGGTGCTGCGGGACCTGAGCGGGCAAACAGGTACCCACGGCCCAGATCCGCTGCGACGGGCATTCGCCACCATGCTGGGACCATCTCGCCTTGGATGCAGCTGCCACCCCTGAAGCGCATCCCCGCTCGCTTTGCCTGGCGGCCGTGAGCCCTCGCCTGCTCCGAGGACGAGGACAGAAAGACGGACTCTTCGGTGGGCTGACACATCTCGGTCTCCCCAGCCGACGGATCACCACGAGGAGGGGGTGTCAACACCAGCTTCGGATCATGGTGCAGAAACCCCTGCCCGAGAGCCAGGTACAGCCCTCTGCAAGGTCGCCAGCTGAGAGCAGCGCGCCGGTCCGCAGCAGAGCGGGGTTCGAGCCCCGAAACCCCGCGTTTGCACAAACCAGAGCAGTTCCAACAGGCAACGCCGAGGCGAAGCCTCCGCACAGCCCCTGCAGCCGAGGTCCGCGTCAGCATCGGATCTGACAGGAATTCGACTCGAGCTCCGTCGAGTGCCTGCTCCGTCTCCTCAGCTGCCGTCCAGAAAGAGTCTGACTCGCTCTCGTCCGCTTTTGCAGGTGGCAACATTAAACTCCAGGAGAGCTGAATAGGAGAGAGCAATAGCAATCTCTTTTTTGGGGGCTACTCAGCCACTTTTTCCCTCTCCTTTCCACTCCTGACTACTTTTCCCACTTGGACGATTCTCGGGGGTGGTAGCCTGCCCGTGGGAGACTTTTCACACACTCTGTGTGGCTGCAGCAGGGACAGACCTTACGGATTCCCAAACTGCTCCTTGGGGACGTCACCAGCCCTTGGTAGACGTCAGTGCCCCCCGCCTGCCCCCTGAGCTGCTTGGGACAGGGCTCCCGAGCCCGATCCAGCTATAATGAGCGGGGGTAGGTTGAAGTGCTGAAAAAGCGGGTTCCTGGCAACTCAGGAATCTGCTTTTTGACAGCACGCGTGCAGGGAGCGCTCCCCAGAGCAACCTGGCTGACAGCTCCGAGGGCGCAAGGAACGTCTGGCAGCACAGCA